GAACGGTTGCCCGCTGGGGGCGGGGAAACGATGGGGGTTGAATTGCAGGAAGGCATGGCCCAGTTGACAGGGTGGCTGTCTGGCGCGTGGCAGAAGCTCCTCTGTTAAATCCATGCGTAAATCGCTGTATGGCCGTTTGCTCCACAATAACTCTCCTAATATATTGCAGGCTAGAAAAGCAACAACTGCCGAAAAACATGGTGTCAATGAGCATTAGTTGTTCGAACCTAACATGCCTTTTAATTCCGAAATACTTGTTCGGTGCCCCTGGCTACTTCAGATTCAGTTTGTGATAACAGCAAGGGCACATCGGCCGAATCGGCGTGCCACATTTCCGGAACCGCTGCAGAAACCTTCTAACGATCTTTCAGCCCGGAACAGAGGCGGGGGAAGGGGGGGGGGGCAATGTCCGACCTCTGCAATCGCAGTGACTATGAGATCCGTGGGTACAAAATTGGTGGCGTGTCTGGGAGCTCCTGTTATTTGCCCAATTCGTGCCCTGGTGTCAATGTGATCTCCGTTAAATTTGCTTGAATGTGTTGAATTTTTATGTTCATCACTCCAAGTATCTTGTTTGCAGCGAAATACCTTGCAGGTAATAAAATTTGCAACCACAAACCAAGTATATGTCCTCAGATCACGACGCATGGTTAATGGTGCGTGCCGTTCTGTCCATTTCCAATCACACTTTCCTCTTGTGTCAGTAACATAGAAAACCCGGTGTGCGCATATTCATAAGCCCAGACGGAAGGCAGGTTTGGACCACTCCCAGGCCGTATGCTAGAACCTTGCAAACTCATAAACGACGCGACGGGAGCAATGGAAACGCGGAAGTGTCGTCGACCGCGAGTCCGACGAAACATCGGACCGCAGTGGCAGAACGGCCCGGAGCAAAACGGAGCTGGACGCCGCGACGCCACGGGAGGGAGCGGCGCGGCGACGACGGCGGCTCTGTGGCGACGACGGCAGCTCTGTGGCGACGCCACAGGAGGGGAGCGGCGCGGCGGCGACGGCGCAGCTGCGTGATTCGTGAACGAGGCCGCTCAGGCGCGCGTGCGCGCGCGGCGCGGCCGCTGGACGGGAACCGGGCCACAGCTGCGACTTTGGCCAGATGAGGTCAGCGTCGCCGGCCGTGAAATCGGCCCGCTACCACTCGCGGATGACGCCCCGCTGCGAAGCCAGACGGCGCTCAGATGACACCCTGCTGCGGAGTCAGGTGGTGTTCAGATGACACCCTGCTGCGGAGTCAGACGATGCTCGGATGGTGCCCTGCTGTAGAGTTAGAGGACGCTCGGATGATGCTCCGATGTGGAGTAAGACGGTGCTCAGTATATCGGAGTCAGACGGTGCTCGATGATGCCCTGCTGTGTGGCTGACTCAGAGATGCAGGCTGACGGGGATGTGCTACGCAGGCTGGCCCAGAGATGCAGGCTGACGGGGATGTGCTACGCAGGCTGACCCAGAGATGCAGGCTGACGTGGATGTGCTACGTAGGCTGACCCAGAGATGCAGGATGACGGGGATGTGCTACGCAGGCTGGCCCAGAGATGCAGGCTGACGGGGATGTGCTACGCAGGCTGACCCAGAGATGCAGGCTGACGTGGATGTGCTACGTAGGCTGACCCAGAGATGCAGGATGACGGGGATGCGCTACGCAAGCTGACCCAGAGATGCAGGCTGAAGGAGATGTGCTGCGTAGGCTGACCCAGAGATGCAGGATGACGGGGATGCGCTACGCAAGCTGACCCAGAGATGCAGGCTGACGGAGATGTGCTGCGTAGGCTGACCCAGAGATGCAGGATGACGGGGATGCGCTACGCAAGCTGACCCAGAGATGCAGGCTGACGGAGATGTGCTGCGTAGGCTGACCCAGAGATGCAGGCTGACGGAGATGCGCTACGCAAGCTGACTCAGGTTGATACCGATTGACTCAGGCGAATGTAAGCCACCTAAGAATACATTATGCTAAGCGGTAAAGGCCGTCATGGGCTGAAGTGGGCTCAACCAGACTGACAAATAACGGAGCTGTCTTGTCTCAACCGGTTGGAGCTCGTAGAGCCGAGTGTTTCGAGCCAGTGGCGCCGTTTGAGCAGTCAGACAACGGGACTTAAATTGGTTTACGACTGAAATGGCTTCTGTAATTGGTGCATGAAATGGTACGGCTGCCTGGCAGGATCAAGGATGCATTACGGGCTACCATGCCTACCGTCCCAATCCACATTTCTCATGAATATTTCTTGCGGTATGTGATTCACTCTAGGTTGGCTTAGGAAGATGACTTGGTATATAAACTTATGATTCGTAAAACACTGTTGTACTGCCCTCATATGGCTTATAAGGTTTTAACGATATTTGTGTTAAAAAAGCAGCTAGTTCACCTTATTCTTGATTAACACTCAATCACAGAGAAGAATAAGCATAGTTGGTCTTATTATCTATACACAAACGCTTATCCGCGAAGGAATCTGAGTTGTGTATCAGATCATGGGATCGAGTAGGGATAACATCCCAAACAGCTTCCTGGAAAACGCTGGTCAACAAATTTGGGCGCCTTCACAAGGCATGTTCGTACTACGTGGCTGTGCTACGCAAAGCCTGGTAGCTGCTTTTGACTTACCCTACATCATGACTCCATGGCATGGGCGGTGCATTGTTCATATCATACATGAAAAATAGAAGTTGGACGCTGTTAGTGATAAACGCTTCTGATACTTGTAGGCGTATCTGTCGGTCCGTATTTGTTGGAATGTTGATGGGCTGCCTCGGAACATTTACTTTGTGTTGGCGTGGTGATGCGAATTGATCAACAAAAAACAAGGTATGCAAACCTATATACAGACACACACACGCATATATGCATATATATATATATATATATATATATATATATATATATATACTATGCCTTCTAGCACGCGTTCCTTGTCAGACGGGACAAACCAATATGTGCTTCTCTATAATAAGCACCAATATCTTCTATTGGTGCTACTCAGTATACTGTGTCAAGCCTCTTCTGGTGTCCTGACCAAGCTAAGGCCATTTTGAATCAGCATCTTGTTGAACACATGACAGCTAACCTACGATGTGTTGCAAATATGCCAGCATATTTGATGCAGTTAATTCGTGATGACTGTCCCGAAGTTGACGTTCACACAGTAGTTACACTACGTATGTGATACGGAAGACAAATATTGCCCACGTGCATAATTTTATATGGTTTGTCTCTTATAGATGGCTGCAGTGGTACGGGACGACGACACCAGCCCTGACCTCTCAAATAAACGAAGGTTCCGCGGTGATAGCAGGCCGCCGTGTCCCCAGCGGGTGGTGATCCGAGGATCTGACAGCCCAGATCATAACGGCTTCCGCCATTGTAGTTTTCGACGGTCGATTTCGTAAGCGAGGGGGTTACGTCCTCTATGAGATCGGGCCGAATAAGTGAGCGGTTATTAGGTTCCGTTGCATGCTGTAGACCGGTTCCAAGCCGTAGGTGGCAGGTCAGGATGCCCTCGAGAGAGATCGTTCTATGTCCAAGGTATATGATGTCTTGGTAAAGCTTGCAATCTCCTTGTAAGCGTATATTACGTTGGTAGCTTCTTGGTATATTAGGATGGTACCTGTCTGACTCTGCAGTAGATTATACGCCACTTCATGTTTTTTTTACCATGCGGCCGATCATTAAAAGCCATAAACTTACAGTATTCCTCAATTACATGTCACCTTGCTTTGCACCATCACTGGTGACAGGCAAACCCTCACCCCTAATCCAAGATCTGGAGAGATCGTTCTATGTCCAAGATATATGATGTCTTGGTAAAGCTTGCGATCTCCTTGGATGTACCTGTAAGCGCATATTACGTTAGTAGCTTCCAGTTTCCTCTCCAGTTGTGCATGCTATTCTCCATTATCAGGCTGGGTGTACGTTGATTTGTTAGCAGCTTGCGGTTGGAATTTTAACATAAGCGTTCAAACGTGCAACGTTTTTACTGATTATGTTTTAGCACGTGTTCGTCACCTTACTTCTTGGCATTCGTTTGGTGCTTGTAATGCAGATCGTGCGTTTGTCCTTGTTTGTTTTCCCCGCCGTTTGCAGTGGACTGGAGTCGTTGGTCACCACATTGAAGAAGGTTTAAGCATTGCTAGAGGCCGTCTGATCGGTGGCAGAGATGCTCACCGACAGTCATTGTTGACTGTCATCCGGCCGTCATCTGGCTGTCATCCGGCTGTAGTCTGGCTGCCGCAGCCATCAGAAACTATAACAATATAATGTAACGAATACCTGCTGCAGCGTAGTGTTTAAGATAAAAAGGAACAGTTTTCAAGCATGAAGGATAACCCTACATGGTTTCGAGACTACGCGTCTTTTTTCACCATGTTTGTACGTCATGCGACTAGACTTGGTTGCCAGATTACTACTTTTGTTCGCGTAACGACTAACGCCGTTAGCGCATGCGACTTTCGACCGGCTTCAAGTACTTGAAATACCACCTCCGCCGCCACATAATGTGCCTGCCTCACTTCATCACGGAACGAGCCAGGAGCGAAACTTTCTAAGCCTCACGCTGTGTCGACGACCTCTGCACGGTTTCACCGCCGCGCCGCTGGAATGAAAACCATGACTCGGCCGAGCCGCAAGGCGGCGGCATATTTGGGGCGGTCATTACGCGGTCTCGAGTGACGGCAGATTGCGCTTGTGACTTCGGGAAATGGGTGGGTCGCGAGGTATCCCGCCGCACTGCTGGCGCCTCGCAGTTCACGCCACCGAGCTCGGATATTTCGGGAACAAAAAGTAGCGCGGATGGTTCCTGCGTGGGTTCGGTGGGCCGGGCAGGGTTGTCTCTCTAGCCCACTTATCGGCGGGCCTGCTTTGGATTCACGTCCTTCACCTATCATCATGAGTTACATTATCAGACAGATACAGATGAGAAATGTCGGGGTGTCGTCGGGTTTTCATAGCTAGTTTCACTGCCGAATGATTTATATTTGTGATATAAGACCGTCTAACCCTGTCATTGGAAAGCGCTTGTTAACTGCCACCATTCCGGTTATAAACCTGAAATGAATTGTAATTATGGAAACGACACAGACGTGTCATCTCTATCCCAGCCCAACTTTTATACAACTGAAACCTATACAGCCACCCAAAAAGCAACACTTGGGCAATAGCATCGAACTGAGGCGGTAGTCTGTATACAAACCATTCACATGCGTTTTATTGGCTCGCCCAAAACAGAGACAAGTAACACAACTCACACGACGCCATACGATTCATTCATTGGCTTTCCCAAATACGAATAGTAACCGTATTGGCCAAACTCTTGTAACTACATCGTGCCACACCGCGCTCGCAGCGAAACACGCGGCAACGGAAAAGCAATCAACACTAATGCCTGGTCTCTTCCTGGAATGCACACCTCTCGACTTCCATGCGTTATCGTCACTTCCAAACGCTTGGTTTAATGCCTGACGGTCATTGGGTCCGTCACCGCACAGCCACAATTTCCGGCCCGACTCAAATGTGGCGCAGCGGTGTCGTTTCTCGGCACGGGTCGGACGTCCCGCTGTTTTGACGGCTTCCTTGTACAATCACCTCGCGTTCGACCTCCTGACCCGGCCGGCCGCGGGGCACGAGCTGGCGGCGCTGTCTGCCGCGGGGCACGACCTCCTGACCCGGCCGGCCGCGGGGCATGACCTCACGAGGCGGCTTGCCAGTGGCCGCCGCCCGACACGCCCCGCCGGAAGTCAGGCCGAGCCTCCTCCAGCTGCTCCTCCGGGGTCGGGGTGAACTGATCAAGAAACCTGGCGGTCCAGATCAGATGTAATACGGGCAGAGCTGGGATAACGCGGGATAGCGCAGCCAGAAAATTGATCACTTTTGAATGGGAACCGCACAGAACAGCAAAAACAAGCGTCGCCGGCATGTTTTTTGTCCATGGCTTTGCCTTATTTTCGGCACAAAAAACAAACTGGAAAACGAGCCATAATAACACTACGCCAGAAGCGAAGAAACACAAGAAAACTGGGAGGCAGGTTGTTCAGTGCATTTGCGAGGAACGTTATTCATATAGATGAGACAGTAGTAACAGCCTCATTCATCGGAGAAAAACCAGGCGAATGGAATTACACATGAATTGATATTTCGGCAACATGCCTTTATCGGAACGTTAGCAAAAGCGAATTAAAAATGACCTGCCGATGATCCTACTCGATTTTTGAGTTTTTTTGGGGGGAAACAGAAAGCCACAGTTTTATAGGACAGCAACATCCAGGGGACTAAACAAGGAGCGATTGCCAGCCATTGCCACGATACAGCGCATATCTAAAGATTAGAATATGCGAAGATACATGTACATGCAAACGAATTCAAGCAAATAGGCATCACGCATCACGCCTCATTTAAACATGCAAGCGAGCTGAGGTAAACAGGCATCGCACATCACGCGTCAATTATACATGCAAACGATTTCAATTGAACAGGCATCGCACATCACGCATGAGGCATCACTTACACATGTTAACGGTTTTAAGGTAGCACGCAACACGTATATAACATGACGTATATAACGTTCGTATAATCGGCCATGATGATTACATTACTGCACGTTAATATTTGATCGCCAACTTTTTATAAGAATAGATTCACTTATTTTCCTGTCTGGGTGGTCCTATGTTCTGTAGATGACTTTAAGCTCTAAAAGGGGCATAGGATCCATACTTCCCTTAATTTCAGCCTGAGCCTGTTTTACCAAAATAATGGTCAACGAAAGAAGTGTTCCCTGTTTTATTTTTAACGTCTCGCAGGCGTTCATTATATCTCAAATGAAAGGCGCGTGTGGACTCCTCAACACAGACTATGTCCGTCCCAAGTTTTTCGCACGGTCTACACTTGATTTCATAAACCACATTTTTGCGTGCAAACCCCTTAAAACCCAGACTCGCATAAATGATATCTACTGCCGCCGGGGCACTCAGGCCTTGAGATGGCGGATTTCACCAGATACTTTTTTAGCTTATTGTCGTTCTTTTAAGCTATATGCGCGCGCTGTTTTGATTTTTTAACGACGCGTTTTATTTTCTGGAGAAAGGGCTCATCTATGTAAGGTAACGTTAAGAATCTTGAGGTGTTAACCTCTGACAAGCAGCGGGTACGCTGTGCCCCATCAATCCCCCTCCCCCTGTTGCTACGTCTACGATCTTGACATAATTTCCCCGAGATGGCTTATTACTACTAAGACGAACCAAACAGAAGTCACTCAAGTTAGCTAGCGGTGCTTTGCCTTTTTTGACCATTTCTGAAGCTCAGACATAATGCTGTTGTACTGTTAAGACCCTCAAGAATGCAGGCAATAAATACATCTTGCTTACTAGAAGCAGGATGCATTTATAGCGTAGATAAATAACGTACCACTAGAACACAGTCACCATGCCAGCAAACATAGTGCTTTCAAAGCATAATGCACGTTATCACGCCGCAGAATGGCACACACTACAGCTCACGAGAATGGCTTGGATGCTCCTTTGAGTTCGCATATGACGTTTGTGAGCGCCATGATGTAGTTCCGGGCCAGGGTCAGGGTGTCGATCTTCGACAGTCTCCGCTCGGCACCGCGGACCGGAGGTATCACCTCCCGAAGGCTCTGGAGCACGCATTTGCAAACACACACTGACCCCGAATTTGGCAAACATGGAACAGATGACATTTCCAGCAGCCATAAGATGCCAATGCGGCGAGAACCCTCAATGAACACTACGGAACCATCACGAAAAACGGGTGGGCGCAGGAACGCGATAGGAAATGCACGTAATCTACGTGATATATACACGAAATCATCTGTCCGACAGTCCAGCCAACAGATGAATTTGAGGTGCTTGACTACATAAACAGCTGCTTGCTAATCAAATACGCAAATGATCTCACAAACATCCTTGACGCGGCCGCGTTACTTGCCACGGCCAATCAACGTCCCGTATTCAAGAGCGAATCCTCACCACGAATGCGTCGTTGAGTCCATGCATGCGCATTCGTTCCCGCTCGTTGCTCTCCAAGCGCCTCGAGGTCCTGCCCTGCGGGGTCCGACCGTTCCAACGACGAGGGGAGGACAGTGGCGCCATCCTCGACGCCGCGCCTGCCCTCTGTTGACGGCGGTGCAAGCTGTAGTCGCTGCAGGTGCTGCCATCTGAGTCTCCCACGTTCGGGGAGTACGCACGGCCTGGTGAACAACGCGACGTCAGGATGAGCCCTACAATACTATGGGGATTATGTACACATACTGAACAAGGTGGGCTGTGTGCATAAACACTTTTTGAATGACCTTTGACAGACTTCGCCATGGAGTACACAGGTAACAGGTTTCGAAATTTAATTTAAAGACTCGTGGTTAGTCGAGGCATGTTTTCCGGCTTGGCTGGACAGCAGTTTCTGCTGTTCATACATGCTTGAGAGGTTTTAGACTGCAATAAGCATCAAAGAACTTTGAAGGTTATTCAAACGATCAGGAGGGCCTCGTTCCATTGTGTCGTTCACACGTGGGCTATCTTTTACGCGATGCGCCGGGTTTCGAAGTGGCATGGATTCGATTCGCCCAAATTACGATTGGCTTGTTAAAACACGTTCGGGTGGGGATAGGCTGGTCAAGTTGAGCCCCGTGGATTTTTCCAGAATGGTTTCCGAACTGTGCGACGTTATTACGCCAAATATTGAAAAGTTGTAAAGAACTGAATAGGGAATCTTTTGGTATACAAATTCAAATGAGACTTGTAAGGTCGCTGACCTATGACAGGTCAGTCAGGTCATGGCCGTCAGCGAGGGCCATTTCTAGGAAATCGTTTAGCGTAATGCAATAATGAGCTGTTAGCGTAGCCATTAATGTCTGAGATGGTTTCTTAGGTGATAAACCATTTGAATTTAGAATTGCAATAAATCCCACTGGCATAGGTTCGCTATGGGGATTAGAACGAGGTGGAAACTAGCTTACTTTCTACTGGAGAAGTAAATCTGATGGGGTGGTTTCTGGTGCTCATTTCGAATTAAGGAATGATAGGGATCGCAACAGACATGCTTCATGAGTTTTTTTTAGGTCAGAGAAGGTCACTGATCTAAAATGACCAGAGCCAACATTTTGTTTTTAGGCAGATACCATCCAATGTTATCCCTGACGCCTATTCTTATGGCAAAATGGGAGCAGCCTCTGAGGTATTTTGTTACCTTGACTTAACAAAAATCGTAAGAGGCCACTGACCTCATTTACCTTTCGATTAGAACAGGTATCTAGCTTCACGTTGGTTGTATGAGATGTCTTGAGTTCTTGTGGGCCTTTGGACATCAACCGTGAGTTTGGTCCTGTTTGGCATTATCCTTTTCCAAGGTCATGATCTAGGATTATCAAATTGGGACGTAAGCTTATTCATGTGCAGTTAAATGCACCCTGTGAAATTGGTGTTTCTGCTATCTAAGCTTTTGAGATGTCAGGTGAGGTCAAATTGACCCCCCCCCCTTCCAGCGAAGCGAAGGGTATTCCGCGGGCCACTTGGATGCGTGTTAAGACAGACGCCAAGCACCGTTGAAGCCTGCTGTACATGTATATAATGATGCCAATCGTGGAAAACATACTATGCGGATGGATTATAGATTCGACACAACCAATATAAAACAATACACTGTAGCTCGGTCGCATCCTAGTAGCTATCACACAAGACTAACTTCGCTAGTCGTCTCAAACAACTAACCTTGGTAACTTTTTTAGTAGGTACTACTCTACCGGACTGGCAGAGCTTAGCATCAAGCGGCAAGGATGCATAGTCTTACCACTGCGTCATAGTCCCTACCCGCCGCAAGAGCCCGAATCGTGCCCACTACGTGACATCCTTGCTCGGCACCTGCGTTAATGAAGGGTACCACAGCAGCATCGACACACCACAGGTAATACGGATGGGGAAATATCGCCAAAATCCTTTTTCGGATATTCCAACAGTATGCATATGATTTTGGTGAAACGAGATGTGATAGTAAACGTGAAAAAGAAGCCTGAAATCATCAACGTCCCTTCCAAATGTTGAAATGTGGTGGTGCTAATGTTTGCCGACATCCTCATTCTTACTCGGGCCTTTTGCATCAATCTCTCAGGCACACCAGAAGAGGTAAACCAAGCTCAACAAAATCCAAAACTGCAGCCAAAAAAACAAGTCCCAAAAAGAAGTGGGAGCTGCATGGTATGCACTAGGCAGTTTGAATGACGGACACTTCGAGCGCGCGCGCTTTTAAATCAGCCTTAAAAGCACGTGGGTCGGAAAGTACCCAGGTCTGCCCATGTATCGATTCAATGAAGAAAATAAATTGGAAAAAAATGGGCTGTTTCCAATTATCAACTGAAAGGGTGCAATTTACATGCATTAATTAGTTTGTAATTAAGCCTGCCCGGTGACTGCTATGGCAGTCTGCAGCAACATCATGCTTCCAGGAACACAGGGACGTGCGCTGTCTAGTTTTCCCGTTAAAGAGACGTGCGCTGCCTACTTTTTCCCTACAAAGGCGTGCGCTGACCATTTTTCCCCTACAGAGGCGTGCGCTGACAGTTTTCCACTACAGAGACGATATTTTTCTATTTTTTTCGTTGTTGAAAAACCTGAACCCAATTTCACTAGTTTTCCCCCACAGAGATTGTGCTGTCTAGTTTTCCCCTAGAGAGACTGTGCTGTTTAGTTTTCTCCTTCAGAGACTGTACTGTCTAGTTTTTTCCTACAAAGGCGTGACCCGATTCGCTTTCAATAAACGCATGCCACTTGTCGACAATATTACGCCAACTTTTCCTGCATCTGCACTTCCAACCTACACTTTTGTGGTTTATGCTTACACTTCGGTTCTGTAGTTTTTGCCTGCATTATGGTTCTATATGCATGAACTACATGTCTGTAGTTTCTACTGGAACTACGGTTCTGTAGATCTGTTTTGTCTGAACTATAGTTTCGTAATTGCACCGTTGGCGCAATTGTGTCATTCAGTTAGAAAGCTTGTTGGGGGAAAAGGTCGCTTAAAAACCTATATCTACCCAGAGCAGCAAAATGGTGTGTTGTACGGTGAAGGACAGGCCCGCCACCTAGCGGCGGTAGTGTAAAGCTGATCGGTTCCGGCATAATTCATCAGAAGCAAAGCAGATGGGTACAATTGCATTCCATTCAACAGGCCAACATGCTGCAAACCCCAGATATCGATGGCGGTAAGCCAAAATTCCTTCAGCTCCCGCTAAGCTTATCAGGACCACAGAGGTGTACTTAACGCGTGTTTAGCGCACATGCCTGGTTCATTATCGGCATCATTGCAGCTCATGAGCGATAGAGGATATCAAAACACATTTTATATCGGCTCATTTACACATGAAGCGAGCTCTTTAACGTTAAGTCCCGGTATTTTTATTGAAGGGATTTAAGGGCTCAGCGCCCACGCTAAGCCATGCTTGTTGCGTGAGCCATGACCAGCCATCCGACCGTGGAAAACGGGTCAACAGCAGAATTTTGCGGCAAAAGCTTAGCGTGCTGCATGCTGGGTACGATCCGTTCTGCACTCTGACGTCACGCGACCTTTAGTGCGGCCGCTGTCGCCTACCGCAAGCCATCCCAGTCAGGGGCAAATGGCGAGCGCCCAAACACACCCCGACACGGGTAGGTGAATTAGAAGGCATGAGCTCCAACTAACTGAAGGAGGGGCATCGTCATCATGGGAGGGAGGGGCATCGTCATCATGGCATACATACGGAGGGGCAACGTCATCATGGCACGGTCTGAACTAAAAAACAGCTCGGAACCCTTCCGGGTATTGTCAACAAAATTACGTCTTTACAAAGCGGTCTAATGTTATCTGCAATTTGCTCTCCGAACAACTTGACAGGATCCAGCTTGGCTCCTTTTTCACTATCTGCACCAGTCCGAAGGATAAAGTCTCTCAACCACCTTTGACACATCTCATTTGTTAGGGTAAGTAACTTTCAAAATTCGCCATCCAGTCGCCTTCCGTCCTCTTACAACTTTCGGAGCTTACTGTTCACACTTCCGTCACTTTCTGAACTTATATGCAGCCTTAAACCTTTTCCTGTAAGCCCCATGCACCTGACAAACCACTAGTCCCTAATATAGGTCCACAGCGATCCTGCACTGAACATGAAGTGGCGGTGTGCAATAACTTAGCTACTATGCAATGTGTGTGTGTGTGTGTGTGTGTGTGGTGTGTGTGTGTGTGTGTGTGTGTGTGTGTGTGTGTGTGTGTTGTGTTGTGTGTGTGGTGTGTGTGTGTGTGTGTGTGTGTTGTGTGTGTGTGTGTGTGTGTGTGTGGTGTGTGTGTGTGTGGTTGTGTGTGTGTGTGTGTGTGTGTGTGTGTGTGTGTGGTGTGTGTGTGTGTGTGTGTGTGTGTGTGTGGTGTGTGTGTGTGTTTGTGTGTGTGTGTGTGTGTGGTGTGTGTGTGTGTGTGTGGTGTGTGTGTGTGTGTGTTGGTGTGGTGTGTGTGTGTGTGGTGTGTGTGTGGTGTGTGTGTGTGTGTGTGTGTGGTGTGTGTGGTGTGTGTGGGTGTGTGTGTGGTGTGTGTGTGTGTGTGTGTGGTGTGTGTGTGTGTGTGTGTGTGTGTGTGTGTGTGTGTGTGTGTGTGTGTGTGTGTGTGTGTGTGTGGTGTGTGTTGTGGTGTGTGTGGTGTGTGTGTGTGTGTGTGTGTGTGTGTGTGGTGTGTGGTGTGTGTGTGTGTGTGTGTGTGTGTGTGTGTGGTGGTGTGTGTGTGTGTGTGTGTGTGTGTGTGTGTGCGCGTCGATATTGTACAGTGATTAACGCATGCGTAGAAGCACGATGCTTCATTTTATGCCCGAAGTTTTCTTGTCACTATGTTTCCAATTGCTTGCCACTATACCTACACACAATGAACAGCAATCGATCGAAGGTTTTGCCATCTATCTCGGGACTCAATCTGATACGGTGCCGGTCTGCCTCACCAAATTCAGCTGATTCCACTTCATTCGACATCGTCGCGCAGCTCTAAAAAAAATCTGAATGGTTTCATGGGTGAATTTGGGTTCAGAGCACCTGCTAAGCATAGCTTGTTGCATATGTCCTGAACCCATCACCCAAGTCGTACCGTCCAGTTCAACGGATAATTTTTGCTTCCGCCCTTGCGCCAGACAGGAATGTGGAGTGCTTTACGTGCCGCGCAATGCTGAGACACTGCGGCCCCGGGCCTGGGTTGACCCTCGTTGGCCAGTTGCCAGCTGATGTTTCCATTTCAGTCGGGCCAAACAATACGCCTGCTATGGGACTCGAACCCAGCGCCGCTGGATTACGAGCGCAGCATTTTCCCCTAGACCGCGGAGGCGGCAAAAGCTTGGCAGAAACTTCAGAATAAATTTTTGTCTAGGGAACTTGCAACCACAGGTCTATTATCAACCTTATCAGTTGCCAAATAAGGCTTCCGAGGGTATGGAGCCTAAAGATAATGCCAAAAGACAATGCTGAGATAAACAGAGGTGCCTGCTTTGTTTCCGAGCAGTGACACATGAAGTGGAATGCTGCTTTCTTTTTATCATGTGATAATCATCTGACGACGGCGGCGCTCATGACGATGGTGGCGCTTTTCCGTTACAGCTGATGCCAAGTCAGCATCACATGCGAGGCATCAGATCTCAACAGTCTTAGTTGCATCCTCTGCAGCCCCCACCACGGCGAAAACGGCTTGCTCATCCAGGACGTGTCCAAAAGAACGTCATGCTGTTCACCCGCATAACACTTAAGTGTAAGTTTTAAGAGACCATATCGCCCTCTGCGACACGAGATCGCGGCGCTGCCAAGATGGCACGGCTCATTTGATTCACTTTTTCAACATTTCGAAGTACGTTTTACGAGCCCATCTCGCCCTCCGCGGCACGAGAGCGCGGCGCTGTCAAGATGACACGGCTCATTTGATTCACTTTTTCCACACTGACGCGTCTCGGATCTCCAGGCATGTTACATCATTTTGGGGTCCCAACCACTAGCGTTAAGATGACCACAAGACCCCGTTGTGTAACGTCTGTGAATTACAGGGACATCAGCTGTAACTCAGATTCCCTATCTATCAGTGAGACGAATAGACGGCCTGGGCAGCGCGGGCGAACGGGCCGATAACGGGTGTGAAAGTCATCAGCTGTTATGGTGCCGGTGGCAGAAGCCAAAGTCGTGAGGCGCCAAATGGCTGGTTCCCTCGCGTTTACAGATAAGTTAAACGCGAGCTTTTTAAATCAGACATGAGCAGCAGTCTCATGCCTCTAAGTGCTTTCGAACATTGACACTCGAACTATAGTCCATAGTTCAAGCCAGACGCACCCGGCCTGTGGTCTTACTCGTCATCAGAGGGCGACCGTACACGTTCAGAGCGTACGCTCAGCTGCGGTTTCTTACATCAGTGGCGTCCACATTCACACCAGAGCTGGGCTTGGAGAGCTCGGGAAGCCCGGTCGACAGGTACCCCGACATTGTACCCGTACCGGCGACCCGACTGTACATCCAGTGCTGTGATGGCTCGACAGTGTCATGCTGAAATGAGCGCGCTTTGACCTTTGCTGGATTTTTCTTTCCGGTTCCGTCCACATTTGGAGCGCCCGTGAGATTAACGTGCAACGTAAATATCTCACGCAGCGCACGCTGATCTTTTATAAAATATATCAACAAATCGTTCTTAAATGAGCATCTGGCCACAGTCACAACATCAATTGTATCAAACGGATAGCTGCTGCTGATCCCTTCCCGTCGGCGCACTTGAGGGCATGACTGCATCTGCCTCGAATGGGTGTTACCCGAATTTCAGCAGCACTCTAGTCTCCTTTGAAAGCTCAGTAACAGCTGCGTGTAGAGCGGCGACCTGGTTCCCTCTATCTTGAGATCTACACGTTTCGTTGTCCTTGTTTATGACCGTTGCTTGAAGCAATGCTACAAACCAATGCAGCAACGTCACGTCCAACGGCAGTGATGTAGCCGGGACTTCGCTCGGAAGGCGACGGGAAAGGGTTCTGTCAGTCATGGGGACCCACTTTGTCACTACAGGGGCCTTACTTCCAGAATTCTAGTGACGTTTCTGGGCTTGAGGTTCGATTTTGATTTCTTGGACACAGTTTTCATGTCTAAAAATCCCGCAGTGTCTTCAAGTGTCAAAAGCTTCTGGGGCCTCCGAGAGCCCCCGCCACCTGAAAGGCACTTGGGCTTCCTAGGGATGACCCCAAAATACTCCCTTTGGGTACACCACTGTTATCGGCATGCTGCACTTAGTGGCCTTTTGTATGGTTTTCCCAGCAATGAATGTTTTGCCTCTCTTTGTCGGCATCTATCAGCGTCCAGAATCGCTTTGTGCCCCCAAGCGGTAAGCTCACTTTCTTGCTGGTCTCAAGACATGAGCCTCATACCGAGCCCATACCGCTCCTCGCTGGCTGGCTAAATGCCCTGAAAGACTTCACTAATGCTTTCATCATCGCGGGCAAACTGATGATAACGAGCGCTGCTCCGTCCCGATCTCTCCATCAGCAATCACACGCACGCGCGTATTTGGCCTCTCGTTCCCCAGTCAGCCAGTGCCGCTCCCCGGCTTTCGCCGCGCGTTCCAACATGCCCGTCTGCCAGAGGCGGTCCATGGTGCCGGCAAAAACGTGACATGACCTTGCTTGACCGGGCGGGACGGGTCAATTCATGTCACCTAAACGGTAAACGGTACGGTTAAAGCCGAAGATCGCGTACAGGAATGTCCAAACAGCTCGAGCATGTTGGAGCGTGCTGGGGTAACGCTTGTTACCCTAGCACGCCAGGTGTGCGATCAGGGGGAGCTTCCACGTCAAACGCGGAGGAATGCGGCGGGGATGGGAAGCTCTGCGTTGGCCCAGCTGACATGTAACCGCCACCAGATCAGACGGGATGTTAGGCTGCTGCTTCAGAGCTTTGGGTGCCTCCAAAGGACTCGCTTTCAAGTAGCATGCTCAATTTACCATGTTAACAACAGTGACCGCTTGTAAGTGTCAATGTCAACGTGTTTTCTTTGCGCCGGGCAAGGGCATGCTAATCCGCTATGCTTACAAGATAAAGATTTCTTGATCCGAACGTACGACATTTAGGGCGATATAACTTTATCAGCGAATGACAGCTCACCACCGGGAATCTTTGCCTGTCATATATGTATACAGGCACGCAATAGCTAATCGTCCGGGAAAGGTGACATCTTTTAAAAAAAACCTGTAGCTATCGTGTCTACGCTACCCAGGCTAGGACATGCCGCGGCACAATGTTTTTCCATGCGAACAGACAGGTTTGTTTGCTATTATCCTACGGACCAATGCTGCACCTGCCCGACCATGGCATTGACCTTGTAACCTGGATGACCGCGAGTCCTCTTCTACACGTAAAATAAGAATGTTGACTCGCGTACCGTATAAACAGACTACATGATGTATAGCCGGTTTGCGTTGAACGACCGCATTGTGAATTGCACTCGAGCTTGCGCCTGGGAGGGCTGATCTGCTCACAGTGAGAGATGGACTTTTTGTGTGACTCAGTGAGAGCTTCCCTCAAAATTCTGAGGGAGAGACACATTGAGGTTTTAAGTCGATTCTTATGCCCCGACGTCATAGGCACCATGCTAACCTTTCGCAACATTGGACAGAGACCCGGCGGGAAGCTCTATCCCCTTCAAAACATATGAAAAGTTCCATACATGCTCACGTCAGTGTCTATCCGACCTCGGCTGTAATGAACAGACATAAAAGGGAAGTGGAAAGACGAGAGACAGGGCAGGATGACGTCATCATTAACGGCCGGCCGTCGTATAAGGCCGCGATCTGGACCGTCTCCAGGTGCCGCAGGCGGCGGCGGCGGCCGTACCCAGTCTCCCCCTGGCGGCCAGGCGCCGCTCGGCGCTGGCGTCGTCAAACGCCGCCGTCACGTCGTGCTGCGCGTGCCAGAGCTGGGCGGGGCCGGCGGCAGCTCCCCCCTCGTCCGTCGCCGTCCGCCGCATCTGTCGGCAGAGCAGAGCTGTGCGCGTGTCTGCTCCCACACAGGGCTTGGTGACGAGTGCCCGCGCCGAGTACCTGCGAACGAACACAGCGTTAACAGAGGGCAGACACGCCGGGTCTCATTACGGACAGTAGTCTGAGCACCGTGCTTAGATCATGGCGTTACCCGAAATACGCTGGCATTTGCTATACGGCCTATTGCGTGCAAAAAATGCAGCAATCCTCACCGGGCTCCACGCTCATGAGTGCGCTGAAAGCATTGACAGAACTTACTGATTCCCTCGACATCGCGATCCGCTGAAGTCTGACAGCCACTTCAGCGTTATCGCAGCCGCGGATTTGCTGGCCACGGGTCAGAACTGACGAAAAGCATGCAAGTTTAAAGCGCCCGCCAACGGCTATTTGCGTGAGGCTCCGGCTCGCAAGCGCTCGGCGACTCCCAGGTCCCTCTGTCGCAAAGTGCACGGTTTTTACGTCTTGTGACGCGTTTCTCACATCAGGCCATCGCGTGCATTAAGTACTCGTCCATGCTCCTTCCTATCCTAAGGCCCGATGTGTAATATGATATGTAACATGTAATATGTAATGTAATGTAGGCCGATACTGTAAGGCCTGTGCCGGGCGTTCCCCGCGCCATGACTCGCCAGCTCCCGATGGCACAGTCGGCCGTCAAATCGGCGCCCCTAGAAACGAAGGTCACAGCAGGCCCGGCCGTCCGACCGCACGTGTGGGCGCGGCGTCCGCCACCGCCGGCCGCGCAGCTGTGGCGGCCGGGACGACCCGACCGCATAGCTCAGCAGATTAGGCACAGGCCGGGGTCGAGCCGGGGTCGGGCCGGGGTCGGGGCCGGGTCGACGGGCCGCCCGGTCTGCTGCGGGAGTTGGGTGGGAAGGGGGGGAGAGGGAGGGGGGGGGGCAGGTTTGGGCGGGACCGTTGCCGGCTGTTTGGTGGTGCGGACCCGGACTATGCTGAAGCGTGTCCCTGACTGGTGGTAACGCGCGACCCTGACTCCGGTGGTGTCGCGTGTCCCAGACTCCGGTGATGACGCGTGTCTTGACTCTGGTGGTGAAGCGTGCCCCTGACTCCGGTGGCAACGCGCGTCCCTGACTGGTGGTAACGCGCGTCCCTGACTCCGGTGGTGTAGACACCCAGGGGCGTCGGAACCAGGGTAGGGGGCAGGGGTGCTGAGGCCCCCGACTTTCTGAAAACGTAGGATGGGGGCATGGGCGTTGACCGGAATGAAAAAATGGAAAAGCGTTATCAACTCGCACAACTTGGGAGGACCTCCGTTGTCCCCCTAAAGACATCGGGCTACGGTGATGTGGACACCGGACTTATATATTATATTATATTATATTATACGTGATATGTTATATATTATTTTTTCTCTCTCTCTCTCTCTCTCTCTCTCTCTCTCTCTCTCTCCCTCTCTCTCTCTCTCTCTATAGGTATATATATATATGTATATATATATATATATATATATATATATATATATATATATATATATATATATATATATATATATATATATATAGGTATATATATATATCACCGAAGATGAGATAAGATCTCGAAACGTTAGAATGGAAGGAGTGATGAATATATGAGTAATTTTGTGCGAACCATCTTTAATCTAAGCGATGACGCAAAGTCAAAGGCCCGGAAACTAGAACGATGCATCAAAAAGCTCGTTAATGCTGAGTCAGCAGTTATTTTTAATCAAACATGTATCAAAGAAAGAATTCTGCCAAAATATTCCAACATAAAGCTACATAACCAGGCAGTTAAGAAAGAGGGTTTTACCAAAAGGTATAGAGAACGACTTGTGAATCACCAACTGCAGCAAAAGAAGACGGCCTGTGAAATCCTGAAGAAAAAGAGGAAAGTTTTAGAACAAGAGCTACAGGTACGTTGCCCTGAACATGAACTTAAACAAAAAGTACCTGACGAACTCGACGTGATTGAATGTGACACTAGACGTCTTACTAGAAGCAGAATCGTGAAAAAGCTCTCAAGGCTCCATGGTGGACATATAGTATTACCGGAAACTGCCGACGGTTACATCAATTTATCTCAACATGATCTTACTGAGGAACAAAAAGAGGTGCTTAATCTTGGACTTAATTGCCATGTGTTGTCGAAATATGACAAACTTAAGAAGAAAGTAGAACTAGAAATTCTTTACCAGGATATCTTGAATTTGGAAAAAGAGAACAAGGTTACCGTGGACAAGGATCTAAAAAAACAGCTTACCAGGAGAGAGCACGAAAAAGCGTGGAAATGATAGAAGCAAGATATTCACGCAAGAACTCAGGACGGCGGCAAGGGAACTTCGAGAAAAAGACGACATCATCATTCGGCGAGCGGACAAATCATCACTCTACGTAATACTTGACAAAAAGGAATATCATATGAAACTAAACTGCATCTTGAACGACGACAAGAAGTTCCGGCACATCACAAAAGATCCAACAGACAAACTCAAGACCAAGCTTAACAAACTAATCACTGCTGCCAATGCCGCTGTTGATGGCATACACTTTTCCAAGATAACGGGTGAATTTGCGCCTGGCTATGCTTATGGGTCTGTGAAAACTCACAAAAACGGCAACCCCCTTCGTCCAATAATCTCACAGATCCCTTCACCAACCTATAGAATTGCAAAACGTCTTAATGGTCTTCTGTCCCCATATCTTCCCATGTCTTACAGCTTGTCATCAACGGATGAGTTTATTGATATAGTGCGATCTCGTCAACCTAAGGGCCTACTAGCCTCTCTAGATGTTGAAAATCTATTTACAAACGTGCCTATTGAAAGAACCATATCCATCATCCTTGACCGCGTCTGCAATCATCCTGAAATTCCTCCTCTCAAAATATCAGGGCGCCTCCTTGAACAATTACTAAAAGCCTGCACGTTGGAAGTTCCTTTCCGCGGGCCTGATGGCCGAATGTATTGCCAAATTGAGGGTGTTGCGATGGGCTCACCTCTAGGACCCCTATTCGTTAATTTCTTTATGGGACACGTAGAAACCGACATACTACAAAATGACGACATAAGACCGGACATTTGCTGCCGCTACGTAGACGATATGTTTGTAGAAGTTAGGGACATTGACCAACTAGGACATCTCAAAAACACCTTTGAAGAACGGTCTGGCTTAAAATTCACAACAGAGCAAAGTGTGCAAAACGTAATACCCTTTCTTGACGTAGCTGTTGATGGACAAGGACAACAATTCAAAACAACTGTATACCGAAAACAGACTAACAACGGACGGTGCTTAAATGCTGACAGTGAGTGTCCTCGACGCTACAAAATTAGCGTCATAAGGTCCTTTCTTCAACGAGCATTTAAGCACTGCTCTGATTGGACAGGACTACATTCAGAATTGACACGAATCAAACAGATCCTGGTGAACAACGGTTTTTCAAATTCTGACATTGAAAACGAGACACAACGACATATGACAAGACACTTTGACAGCAAACCAAGGCAAGACATCCAACCGACCGTCAAACTGTACTATCAAAATCAAATGACATCTGCTCACAAACAGGATGAAAAAGCTTTATGGGAAATTATCTCTCAACATGCTAAAGGCAAAAACGACCACAAAATAGACATTGTCATTTACTATTGTAATAAGAAGATATCGAACTTTCTTATGAGAAACAGCCCAGACAAACACGACAAACTGAAACGCACCAATGTAGTGCATCGATTCCAATGCAACATCGAAGGCTGCAAGCTTCGTCCCACACACTACATTGGTGTGACCACAACGACACTCTCACGACGCCTGACAATGCACTTACGTGACGGGGCACCCCTGGACCACATGCGACAGGAACACGACATAACATTGACACGACAACAACTGACAGACAACACTGACATTTTACGGACGTGCAGTGACAGAAGACGCCTTCAAATTTGGGAAAGCATATTCATTAACGAACTCTCTCCGGCCTCAAACAGTCAGACAAATTCTTGCAGAACTCTTGAGCTACTAGGTGGTGGGCGGTGAGGACTTCCGATGTGATTGTGACAATAGTGTTCCCATTGTGTCTTTGTGATGTTCCCATTATGAGTGTTTCTTACATGTATGAAGATGAAAATAGCAGTCCGTCTTACTTCAATTAGTTGTGCTTCACTTACGGTCTCCGTACTAAAAGATGTTTTCCAACAGTAGTGCACAATTTTTTTCATCCTTTAAAACTCAAAACTTATTTCTTGTGCAATTTAGTCTTCTCCGAAGATGAGATAAGATCTCGAAACGTTAGAATGGAAGGAGTGATGAATATATGAGTAATTTTGTGCGAACCATCTTTAATCTAAGCGATGACGCAAAGTCAAAGGCCCGGAAACTAGAACGATGCATCAAAAAGCTCGTTAATGCTGAGTCAGCAGTTATTTTTAATCAAACATGTATCAAAGAAAGAATTCTGCCAAAATATTCCAACATATATATATATATATATATATATATATATATATATATATATATATATGTATATATATATATATATATATATATATATATATATATATATATATACACGGAATGCGCGATACCATCACATGCTGTGGTGGAGCAGCCAATGGCTGTCGGAATGGAAAACCTATAATGTGGAGACAACGGACCACAGACTGACGGTACCAGAGCAGACTGCACGGTAACACAGGCCCCAGACTGTGGCGATATGAGCCCCAGACTAGTCATGCAGAGCATAGACAGTGATGATGTAGACGGCCGCCAGACTAACGATTCCAATGGACCCTGCCTGATGCGATACATTCCACTGCAATGATGGTGAAAATTCATACCCGGCGCTGGCATGTCGCGAGCACGGTAATGCCTCCAAGACCATTGTAAATTGACTGGTGGGCTGTCCAGCAGGACCCTATATTGTCACTGCCCACGCCAAGTAGCACCCAGCCAGGTGGAGCGGTGCACGGGCTGCGATGACGCACGCCATTTGCCCCCGAAGGTAGCGTGCAATTGGACAGGCCGTCAACAATGGGCAGCAGTCAGTCAAACAACGGCCGGAATGTCGGCGTTCACCGA